ATACCATAGCCTCCCCAGGGATACTTCTGTTGGCCGGGAGGCTTCCTAGCAGCACCCAGCCACACAACAGATGGGTCCCCAGGGAAGGCCTGGCCGGGGGGGGGGCGTTCTAGCAGTCTCACGGGCCTCACATCCTGTCAGTCACACCCTCTGTTCAATCATCTTTTTTGTACCCACTAACACTCTTTTAGTCTAGATCTTTCCCTATCCCGTCTTCCTATTGAATCCTTAAGTCTCGTCTAATTTTTACACCAATCTCCTCTGTCCATCCTATCAGTCACACCCTCTGTTCAATCCTCTTTTTTATAACTACTGCACTCTTTTAGTCTAGTTACTTCCCTGTGCCCGGCTGCCTATTGTATGCTCACATAGATTCCTTCCATAATTGTACATTGACTTTTTTTTTTTTTAATGTGCTAGGGTCAGTTGGCTCTCCATAATGTCAGGCATTGCCACTTTGAGACCCATTCACCCGCCCTTTTCCTCGCAAGCAAGGAGAACTCCTAGTAGGCAACCACCCAAACAACCTCTGCAGCCCTCTTTAGTGCCCACCACTGTGGCACCTACCGTCCCCTGCCCAGTATAACGTTTTCCGGGAACAAAAATTATGTTGTGTCATCAATCGTATAGCGGTCCTCTTAACTCTCCACAATTTAAGGGCTACAACTTCCATAAAGCCTCCAATCTATTTCTGGGAAGACACTGTGTTGGCCAGTGGGGTCAGCATCCCTTACATAGCGACCTGGAGGGATAGGGGCGGTGCAGCGCTACCGGGAGCGCTGCCCTGCCGGACCATTCTTGCATGCACCCCGCTGGTGTGGCTGCTGCTTGGTGACACGTCCTTCGATTTTGTGCATTGGCGACTGACGGGATATGGCAGTTACTGTGCCATCTTCGAGAGGACTGCTCTCCTCGTGTGCTTCGCCGCTACTGCCTTGCAACGTGTTCCTTATTCCAGTGGGCTATGGCGGTGGGGTCATTCTCCGGGGGTATGATGATAAGGGTGGTCGTCCTTCTCCGTAGCGCTGGATAGGTAGATTATTTAGTGCCAAATTAGTGGGCTTTTCAGGGCACTCCATTGCTGCAGTCGTTGTTTGGCAACGCGTGTCTTGTTCTTTGGTGAAGACAGCTCAAGCATTCTTGCGTGTTCTCTACTGCTCCAGTTGCTGTGTTCCTTCGTTAAGTGGAGTAAGGGGACTGGTGTGATGGGTGTTTCACTTTCTCTTCGTCCGTTCTCCTCCTTGGTAGCTGTAGATGGTGGCAATCCCCTGACCGTTCACCCTGGGTTGGAGTCTTCTGTGAGGTCTCGTCAACAAGCTTGGTGATATTGCTCGCGACATAGCTGAGTGGCACGTGTCGACTGGTTACGGCCCATATTCTTCATGAGCTGGCTGTCGGGGATACTGGCCTTTATCCCACATCGGTTCATGGCGCGGCTGCTGATGAGGGAAGTCTCTTTTCCCCTGGGATTGAAGCGGGGGTGTTAGGCTTGAATGATGGTTGGGTGATGTGTGGGGTGTTTGGGCACGCTTGAAGTATGGACGGGCTAGCAAGTTGAAGCAAGTTAAAGTTTCGTCAAGTCAAAGTAAACAGATGGAGTGCGGTTGGAGAACTGCATCAGCAGTTTGATCTTCTCCAATCGTTGTGATTGTTGTGTTGGTTCTTTTTCCATAGTGTCGTTTGGATGTCAAGCCTTTAAGTGGATCATCAGTCGTTAATCAGTCCTAGTCAATCTCAACTTCTTGATTGTTGGATCACTGTTTTTTCTCCAGTATTGCCTTCTGATGAATTGATCGGAACTTGATCCCTAGTACAATTTCTTCAATTACGATCTGAGATTTGCCTCGGGCAATAATTTCATTAATTTTCATCATCTAAATCGTTAGTAAAAATTTTCAGGAATTTCATTACCATAGGCATGAATTTGATTCTCTATCTGCGTATCTCTAACAAACTTGTAATCCTTGAAATTCTAAATTCCAAAATTCTTATATTCTAAACTCCGAAATTTCTACATAGTACATTGAATTACATTCCAATAAATCCATTCCGATATTTTTAACTCCTAAATTCTTAACTTGATATGAGTGATTGAATGTTCATAATATGTTATGAGGTTACAGTCTTAATGATTTGAATAGATGTTCTTTCTGCTTTGCGATTGATTTTCGGATTTTTGTGCGGTGGCCCGGGGCAGATAATAGAATTTAGCGGTAGGGTGGTTGGGTGGCTTTGAGGTGGGGAGCACTATCCTACAGGGGTGTCACAAGGTGGGAGGTGACGCCCTGGAGGGGTAGAGGTAGAGCTCGAGGGTTGTCCTATTCTGGGGCTGGGGTTGAGAGGTGGGTTGGCTCGAACCTCAGTGGGGCCAGATAGGGGCAAGGGTTTGGTGAGGGTATACTTTAGGAGGGAACCGGATGGAGTAGGGGGGAGGGTGTGAGTCTGTTCCACATTGTGGCCGAGGAGTGTTGTTCCTCTCGGTGGGAGAAGCTTTGGGACAGGGTGAGAGGGAGAGGGTGAAAGGGAAATTTCTACATTTTGTGACCTTTGGCTCATCAATATTATCACTATTGTCCCACTAAAGTGTCAGCAGCTAGTTTAGGGGGCGAGCTGCTAAGAGTCAGATAGGGTTTTTTTGAATTTTCCACAGTCATCATTAAAACTTGAACTGTTGGTACACGATCGTGTATCGCCGGTTTTTCAATGGCGCTCAGTGGGGGAGCTTATAGTTGCTGGTCGGATGTACTCTCTCCGGGGCTGGAGCTCTGCTCTGTCAGAACTGCACAAGGTGGGAGGTGCAGTGTCCTCGAGTTGGGGAAGCGGTAATGAGGGTTTGCCCTTTCTGGGGACGGGCTGATTTAGGGTGGGATCAGATTCGGCGGTTGGGGCAGAAGGGACAAGGGGTGCTGCTGTTTCAGTAGGGTGAGTGGTTGAGTGGGCTGTCTTACTTGGAGGGGGTGGGACAGGAGGGAGGGGAGAACAGCTCTGTGTGGGCATTCTCTTGGGAGAATTGTATCCTGCTGACGGAGCAGGGGTGACCGTTCAGGGGGCTGTTCTGAAATGGCGCCAGGGAGGAGAAGGTGGCCTCCTCCCAACGGAGGCAGTGGAGGGACAGGGGGTTTGTTATTTTTTAGGGGAGGGAGTAATCCTGGGGTCTTCCATGGGTTCTCTTAAGCACAGTTGAATCTCCGCCTCACGCTGGAATTTCCATAGGGAGGGAGGTGGGTTTTCCCTCCCTCTTCCTCTTTCTCTGGAGGTAGAAAGTGTTGACTTGGAGGCTCTGGCAATTTTCGTTGATTGTGTGAGTGGCGAGTCAAAAATGAATGGAAGGCTGAGCTGCTTCGGTGACATCTGGTGGATTGTCTGATCTGCGTGGATGCCGTCATGTCTAAGTTCATGGAGGGCCGAGGCCAGAACGACGCTGGCTGGCGCTGGGGTGTGGTCGCACTGCCCTGTAACTCGAGTTCGGCGGGGGTACTAAGCCTGGTAGAGAGATTTGGGGAATTGCCGAGGGTGGAAGGCAATTCCTACGGCCATTCATCAGCTTCCAGCAGGACAACGCTGGCCGGAGCTGGGGCGGGTCGCGCTGTCCTCTAACGGAGTTTTGAGGCGCGTGAGGCCTGGAAGAGTCCTGGTCTGAGGACATGAAGGTTGAGGCCGGTTTTGGACGGTCGAGTGGATGGCACCTGGGTAGCTTGGCCTCGTTTCTGCATAGATTTGTATCTGTTCCAAGTATTCTTCAAGATTTCCGGGGTTTCTAGCGGGTTATCTGAAGTCATGCTGAAGCTGTTACCTGTTCCAAGTATTCTTCAAGATTTCCGGGGTTTCTAGCGGGTTATCTGAAGTCACGCTGAAGCTGTTACCTGTTCCAAGTATTCTTCAAGATTTCCGGGGTTTCTAGCGGGTTATCTGAAGTCACGCTGAAGCTGTTAYCTGTTCCAAGTATTCTTCAAGATTTCCGGGGTTTCTAGCGGGTTATCTGAAGTCACGCTGAAGCTGTTAYCTGTTCCAAGTATTCTTCAAGATTTCCGGGGTTTCTAGCGGGTTATCTGAAGTCACGCTGAAGCTGTTACTTCAGAGATTTGTGGCTGTCCGATGCCAGAACGACGTTGGGCGGAGTTGGGGCGTTGCCCTGTAACCTGCTGCTGGCGGGGGCATGGGGCCTGGTAGATAGATCTGGGGATGTTCTGGGGCTGACATCTCAAGGGACAGCTGGGGGTTGTTGTCGAGGAAGATGCTGGCTCGAGCTGGGGTGAGTCATGTTGCTCAGCAATCTAACAGGTTGGGGGTGTGAGGCCTGGAAGAGCCTGACAGAGAATGGGACAGTTTTGGTGGCCTTTGGTTGGATCTGCTTAGATAACCCTTAGGTTCCAGGGTAGTTGGAGGATGGATGGGGATTGGAGTTGGTGTTCTGTAATTTCGAAGTTAAATCAATAGGATCTGCATGTTTCTCAAAACTCTTCTTGAAACTCAGTAGTTGTTCATGACCATGCAGGAAGTGCTTAGCCGAAGCTGGGTAATGGCCCTGGTATCTCAATTTGTTCTATACATGTTTTCATATGGGACACTGGGCACGGTTCCCAGCACGTGCTGCTCCTGATCGGAGCCTTGTTTGAAAGGGAAAAAAAAAAAGTGAAAATCGACCAAATGTGCTGCCAACCAGGGCCCGCGTTCCAAGACGGCGAGGACGTTTTTCTTTTTCGTTTTTTGAACAGTCCAACGTTGAGAGGATCCAATTGTGGCTGCAGAGGCAGGTTTTCATATATATATTTCTCTAGTGTCACAGACAGTCAATCCCTGGGATTTCCAGGATAATCAATGCTGTGCTCAACTATTGTATTCCTTCCATCATCGATATCTGTTTTAAAATGGAACCTTGGGACGTTGTGCTGGCCTGGTTCCCAGCACATGCTACTGCTCATGAAAGTAAGGACTTTCCGGTTTTCGCAGTGCAGCAGACGAGGAGGATTGAAGTGAGGAGACCGTCATGGAAGGTCTGCAAGCAGAAGGTAGGGCGGTTTGAGGTGTTGAGAAAATGTTCTGTGGGGCTTTCTGGTGTTCCCTCCTCGATAATTTCAGGCCTAACACCCCTACTCCATGGATTGTCACAGCCTTTGAATAGAGCAGCCTCTTTTCCATCATTTTTATTTATTTTATTTTTTTAATCCATTTGAACCATTTCTCGATTTATGTGTATCATCCTTGCGCAGGGGCCATGCTAATCTTCTCTGTATCGTTCCAATTTTAACAGATGTCAAATTCTACTGCCGTACAGAAAGAATATGCGAACCCCTAATCACTCAAACCGACTGGCTTAGCTCAGTTGGTACACCCACACACTGTTGAAATGGAGACCTGAGTTTGAGCCCAGCTGGAAACCAATGAGTGAAAATAACTCTGATTTTACCTGGGGGTGGTCAGTTTGAAGATGATATCACAAGGCGTCGTCAAGGCAGATGTGAACCGGGCAGCTGCTGCAACTCTCTCTCTCTCTCTCTCTCTCTCTCTCTCTCTCTCT